ACACCGAGCCCTTCTGTTGAACTAGTAGTTTAGCACGGTTCGTTTGTGTCTGGTACGGTCTGGTTCAGTTATGTCGGTTACTGTGCGCGGATCAATCTCGGCATGGTTTCAGAAGTGTAGTGTAAATGGGGCTATAGAAACTCAGCTTCGGAGTTGCAGTGTAACAGACTGTAAATAATCGGTTGGTATTGGTACCTTTGCCAGGCTCTGGATGGAAGAAATCTGAAGTCACTAAAGTCTTGAGTTGACTGACCTAACTTAAAACTAACCAACCTACTAAACCAAATATTTTTAAAAGGAGATATTCTGTAGAATATGGTCAATTTGAGACTTCTTCTGTGGGGTCCATTTGTTTTAATTTCTTTCTCCAAAAAACGATGCTTTAAAAGCTGAACTGGAAGATAATTTTTCTTGGCTCAAGTTATAAAAGGACTTTTTTTACTTGTATATTTCAATGTAAGCGTCTGTTAACTGGGAAAAAAAAAATCAGAAGTGAAAAAGCCAATGTTTAAAGAATATTAAGAAAAAAATAAGTGCATATTTGATATCTAATTTTATGAAATTACTAGGTGAGACTTATTTATCATACAATAAGTGTCCATCTGTTGTAACTCTGAGCAAAAACTGCACAAAACCAGATGACAGGACATCTGGTTGGATATAAAATGTATGTTTTCATCTTAATACAAGAAGAAAAATGTTAATGAAGTTATTACAAATAATTTTATCTGTAGCTTGGATGCTTAAAAGGGGGTCTGTACTAGACACTTAATTTTTAAAAGCTTCCCATTGTTTTTGCCCTTTGTGACAGAAGATACAGGAGCAACAAGAATTAACAAAGCTGATTGGTCAAAAACCAAATGCAGGAGTATCCTGCAATTAAGACCCAAAATAGGTTTAATTAACTCAAATTCTGGCTGTTTTCTACTTTAAATCTAAGTAACACTTTGTGGTTTAAGTCCTAGTTATAAGTTAAGTTATCTCTCAAATAAATTGTCCCTCTAAGGCCTCTTTGGGATCGTCATGTCACCATTTAAATCCTGGTTTCAAACCAGCTTGTAAAAAAACAAGCAGTGGAAGTATCCAGAATATTGACTCCATATCTGTGAGTGCAGGTGGGTTATAATTACTGAGATGTTTCTGCAGGATGGAGAAGCTGCCTTATTAGTGCCAACCTTTGTTCATTTGGGATCGTGTTGCAGCCGTTTGTCGGATAAATAAAAACAATCAATCTTTGGACTCTCCAGTGAGATAATCACTTTAGACATGCAGGTTTTGCCCTCTGAATATCACCGTCCTCCTCCAGCTGTAATTACCTCCGCTGCTGACAGTACGGAGAGGTTTGTTTGTGTTCTTTCAAAGATTAACTTCCTCTGGTTTCCGCCTTTTCCCAGTTCCACAGTTTGTTAGTCTGAGCTGAATTATTATCTAGAAATATGAAACAGGAAATGTCTGAGATTTTTTGGCTCTGCCATACACACCCACACTGGAATAAAAAAAGATATTTTTAAATCTGGTTCTTCTTAAAACCTGAGGGATCAATCTATTGTGTTGCTCCTCTGCTTATCCTTCTCTACATCGTTCATTTTCCTGAGCTGCATTTAATGAGATGATTCCTTGATGTTGGCTTCGATAACAGCACTATTGTCCACTGGTATTTTTGCTGTCAGCTCTTCTTGCTCTGCTAGCATTTTAATCAAATTTGTGGCACTAATCGGTTATTAAAAGCTCTTTATAACCTTGGTGTCGATAATTCATGTCTTTTTTTCCTGTCCTCTTCCTCTCCATAAACACCCTTCCTCCCTCTTGGTTCCTTCCTGCCCTCTCTCTGTCTATTGGGTGTGTCTAGCAGTGGCCTCCGGGCCTGGTCTGGGCCCTGCTCCAATGTCCCAGTTTGGAACCATCTCGCGGCAGATTTCGCGGCACAACCCCTCCAACTCCTCTGTCTCTATGGTTTCGGCCACGGGCACCTACCGCCGGGCGCCATCGGTCACATCACAGTTCTCCTTGCAGCAGCAGCAGCTTCAGCTACAGCAGCAGCAGCAACTGCAGCAGCAACAGCCTCACATTAACGGAGGCACTCCTGGCTATGTCCAAAACTCAAGTAAGGCCCCTGTGTCTCCATCTTTAACCCTAAAGCCTGAGCTGACAAAGATGCTTGAATGCAAACTATTGTTTTTTTTGTTTTGTTTTTTTTCCCAATCACACACAGTCACAAATTAATGAAAAAGTAATTTCTATATACACCTTTTATTTAAGAACAAAAATAATACTCTTTAATCAAAGACTTTTGACTTAAAAGGCTAGTTTGGTTTTTAAATTCAACCTTTTTAGAAATTCCTGATACTTCATCTCTTATGTTTTCATAAATAATGTTGTTGTTTTTAACTGCTTTTAGATTTTAAATAGTTTTAAAATTAGTCTGATTCCAAGTGCCGTAGTTGCAAAAAATGTTGAATCTTTCCATAATGGGAGATAACAGTAAAAATATAATGAGCTGTAACATTTTTATGGACAAGGACGAACAAAAACAAATGCAGATAGATATCTGAAATAAAGGCCAAACTACACAGCTAATTGCAAAAAGAAGTTAGAAAACCTGCAGTTTACAAATTTATGGAATGTTTAATGACATTAAGTGGCCAAATGAAGAGGATATGATAAATTTTTTACCTTTCAGTCAATTTCAACTTTAGCATTACGAGTTAGCAGTTTGAATGTCCCCTTAATTAGTGGCTTTAAAAATGAATGGGATAGTTTATTACTTATTTAATATTAAGGGAAAACGTAAAATGTTTTGTAGGAAAAAAAGAATCTCCACATTTGTTGCTTTAACATGCAGAGCTAGCATTAGCTATGTAGCATGGCTTGCTGCTATTAAAAGTTAGAGAAGGATACATTTATAGATCCTCTGAGCTGCTGCTTCAGAGGTTCTAAGAAGGTTTAAAAGCCTTTCTTGTTGATGAGAAAATGAAAGACAAGACTAGATCTGTGTTTTTTTTTCTTTTATACAAGCTAATGTTAGCAATGCAGCATGAGGAGAAAAGTTAAAATATAAAATTCTATAAGTCAGTGCTTTAAACCTCATGGTTTAGTTTTACCAGAATATTGATGAGAGAAAAAAGTTCAGAGTTTCTTTTTTTTTTCCATTTATTACAAGATGGTGCTACTGCTTCAGCATCAAAGAGTTCCTTTTTTAATTTTATTGTGTTGCATAAGCTGCAATTTAATTTATATTGCAGCTTTATTGTGAACCTAAAGGATTCTGGTTGTTAAAATTTGCAACAAAGTTGCCTTTAACAGCCTTTAACTTTTTATGAATCCTTAAAGTCTAATGTGAATCTCTCATTTTAGTCTGATTTCCTCCACTATCTCTGATATTAAAGTTTTTTTTTTTTTGGCTAAAAAGGGCATCCCACATCCATATGGTCCAGATTAAACTGTAATCAACATTTATATCTGGCAGTAAACCAGCCAGACTGAGTTGTTCAGCTGTTCTTTCTTAGACATGGACAAAAAGCGCCTCCTTGTGGTCATTAGTAAAAGTTGTGTAGTGCTTTGAAGGCGTGGGAACAATCAGACTGACAAAACTCCAACATAATCTGCAGTTTATCCACCAGCCTTGGTGATCCTCAGATGAATTGGGAAATCAACAAAATGTTGCCAAATATGATGCACAGATTTAAAGGAGATATTTGTATAAACAACGTTAAATCAGAAGTGAAATAGTGACTTCTTTGCAGTGTGTCTGCTTTTTCCTGCAGAGCATCGATGTCGGTGGGTTTTCTCAGTAGCGGGTCACTCTCTGAACTCTTGTCTGTATATTCTGGATGACTGATGGGGTCCTGACTCTCTTATTTTCCCCTCTCTTTGACTTCCTGTCCGCTGTCTGCTGGCTTTCAGTGTCTGTCGCACCTCCTCCTCCCCCCATGCCCCAGCTGACTCCACAGATACCTCTCACTGGCTTTGTGGCCAGGATGCAAGAGAGCAGTAAGTGAAGAGGCTTCACTCAAGTTACGTTATTCTAATTCTGCATGCACTCTGCATTTTATTCCGTTTGCAGAATTACTTTATGGAGTTTCTCTCTTCATTTATCCTCTTCTTATAAACTCTTAGTTGTTAGATGCTTGCAATGCTTTGGAATGCTTTAGTTTTGAATAATTGATGTGTTAGCTATGGGTAAAATGTTGCCCTTTTCTTGTGCTAATTTATTTTTTTAAGCATAAACTAAGAAATCTTTAAAGCTACATGAGTGAAGCATTTAACATTTTAAAACACGTTTTTATGATATTTTTGATGATCAATTTACACGGAAGTGGCAAATAAAGTTAGGATGGTTAATTTTGGGCAGTATTGGCTGCATCATCCTGTGGGGATGCTTTTCTTCAGCAGGGACATGGCTGTTACTAAGAGTTGATACAAAGATGGATGATAGTAAATACAGTCAATGTTGAAGGAAAAACTGTTAGAGGCTGCAAAAAATCGAAAGCCGACGCAAATGTCTACTTTAAATAGATTATAACAGCAAATAAAGCCAAAGCAACAAGGAAAAAGGATTAGTCAAAGTTCATACATCTAGTTCTTGATCATTAAAACCAGGGCTTAAACAAATAATTGATTATTGAAATAATCGTCAACTAATTTAATAATCGATTAATTAATCGAGTTAATAATTAACTGGAGTGTAGAGATTCTAAAACATGCTTTTAGCTGACAGAGAAACCCACTAAGAGCAGTATTTTAACCAATATTGTAAAAAAAATAGATATAAACATTTTGCATTTAAGATTTAAAAAAAAACGTAAAAACGTTTTACTTTCACCTGGTTTCATTTTGTAAAAAAATATTTTTAAGAACATTTTGCTTAAAAAAATAATAGGCAGTTTAATCGATTTGCTAAAAAAAAATAATTAGTTGCAGCTCTAATCAAAACACAAATAAGCATTGTATTGCATTTTACTTCTTCAAAATTACAGAATAGTTTTTGTTGTTCTATGGTGTGAAATCCCAATAAATATTTAAAGTTTATGTGCCATCATGTTAAAAACTGCACTATGGCTTCTTTAATGGCTGATTTGAACCTGTTTATATGCATCTAGACTTTTCTGTGGTTAGATATTATCATGTGTCTTTTCTTGTCGCCATTTTTAGTGCTTCTTAAGATGAAGAAGGTGATTTATGATTTAGACCAAAACATTCATCCTTATCTAGATTATCTTAAAGGTTTTCCTAACGTTCAAGGTTCAAAGTTAAAACGGTTTCCTTGAAAAACAAAATATTCTAACTTGAGCCACATCTGACATCACACTGATCAAGAACAGATAAAGTGGCGTTGCTAAAGTCGAGAACATTTATTCTAGAGGAAATCTGTTGAAAGATATTTTTAAAAAACATGTGCAAGAAGCCTATAAAGGTCTGGGAAATGATCCAGAAGAAGAATAGTTGTTTTGGTGGGAAATAAACCCAACAATTGTTCTGGATGTGATTTTGGTTCCACTCTGACAATGAAGGGTTTGATTTGATCTGCAAGGAGCTGGCAGGTAAAACAGTCTTGGAGGCTTCCTCAAACCATCCACTGTACAAGTTGAAATATTGTAACTTTAAAGCCATAAACATGATTAAACTGTTTTATTACTCTCATTTACTTGGAAGATAAAAGTCTTTTCTGTAGTTTTCATGTTTCTTAAACAGTTTTCATTAATTATTATTGTCTATAAAGCTGTTATTGTACCTGCATGCCTGAAAACTTAAGGAGTGTTGAGCTGCATCCTGCTCAATGAATGAAAACACCCTCCTCTGCATGTCGGTGCATTCCTGATTAATACTGCATGATCCCGCCGCCGCCATCCTTTCTGAAAACTATGAACCAAGGTTTCATGGCGGATTTCTGACTGTCCAACAGTAGCAGACACTCCCACTCCACCGCCGCCTCCGCCCCCGGATGACCTGCCCATGTTTGACGACTCCCCTCCGCCGCCGCCACCTCCGGTGGATTACGAGGAGGAGGACGCCGCCGTCGTCCAGTACGACGACCCGTACGCGGATGGAGACCCGCAGTGGGCCCCCAAGAGCTACAAGGAGAAAGGTTTGCTTCAGAATTCCTCTGATAATCGTTACTGCAGCAGGTTGTATGAATGCCAACTAGGATTCCTGATTAACGTTAGGAATCATCTACCCACGCATCAGTTCATTCATTCATCCAACATCCATTCATTCCATTTCAGTCTGGTGCTCCAAGCACACATCTTTGCATCCATCAGTTGATTTTGCAGAGTGTAAAACTATAACCATTGGAGACATTTTTTTTTCTTTAAAAGCTACAAGAAACAAGCTAAAAAAATTAGATTTTTAGTAAAATATTGTAAACCAACAGAAATAAGTCTCCTCTGACCGTTATGAACCAAGCGCCACATTAACAAACTCATTTAAGACCATGTCCCCTGTTTCTGGTTCGGTCCCTGCAGTGGTGGCCATCTACGACTACACCAAGGACAAAGACGACGAGCTGACGTTCATGGAGGGCGCCATCATCTACGTGGTGAAGAAGAACGACGACGGCTGGTACGAGGGCGTCTGCAACGGCGTCACCGGCCTGTTCCCCGGCAACTACGTGGAGAGCATCATGCACTACGCCGAGTGAAGCAACCTGGCAGTAACCAGTCCTATTTATTCAGTCATATCCTAACCCGGTGACCGACTGACCGTATGATCCTTTTTTTTTTTTTTTTTAAGAATGGCATAATGTTTTCTCTCTTACTGAATGCAAATAATAATTGATATCTATGTAGTCGGTGTGATAGGGATTGGTTTGTGGCATTTAGACATTTCTCCGGTTTATTAAAGCATTTAAAGAACAGCAGAGGACGTTGCCGTCAGTCCGAGTCGCGGTCTCATTATGGAGAAAAAACCACTGTAAATTACATTTTAAGGATTAAGTCTTAGAAAGCATGCAAATGCAAATCTGTAATTTGAAATTTTATGCCACTTTTCTTCAATTATGTTGTAAATTTCTTTTTTTTTTTTATTTCACTGTCGAAATCACTGAAGTTTTTACTCCAATTTAAAATCTTTTCCATGGGCTTTCTCTCTCTCTTTTTTTTTTGTACCTAATCCTAAAATAAAGAAATTGAGTTTTTGTTTTTTTATGAATTTGAATCTTTTCACAAAGCATTAAGATCTGATTATCCAGTTAAAGATAAAACAACAATCCAGCAGCTGATCGGTGTAAAATGTGTTTTGATCTTAAAATAACTTAGTAGTAAAACCACATTCAAGAAAAGATCAAAATCAGAATTTTTGTACAGTTTTATGCATTTTCTTTAGACTTTATCAATTTACTAAAGTCCTGAGTCAATTCAGTGTAGGCTGGGGTGAGGGAAAGGATTTCTGCACCATACTTGTTTAGATTTCCAGTGATAAACTAGGGTAGGAAAAACATTAAAAGCTGCTCAATTGTAGTTTTGCATCAGATGGGAATAATTTTCAGGGCCTTAATTGGAATATACAACATTAAAACGGGCAAAGACTAGTGCTGTTACTACCTTCATCTCCTTACTTTTCCTGCTGTGATAGGGTGGAACATTTGTGAGTTTTGAAACCTTGATAATGTTAACCGACCTCAATGACTAGTAGATCAATTCACCAAGTTTGCATTTTGATCATTTTTTACACCCACTTTTAGTCTTTTTCCTTCATTAACTTTTAAAGGAACAGATGCACTGATAAATGACCCAACTTTCCCTTAAACTGAAGTTATCCCAGGAATATTTTGTATTACAAACTAAAAGGTTTGAACCCTGCAGTATGTTTTCTATTGTTATAGTAATATGCTGTCTGTGACAGGATGAAGATCTAAAAGTAAAATGAGTTTAAAACAAGAATCCAAATGAAAGCAGAGTAAAATCTAAAGAACGGATCAGTTCTGGTAATATGTGGGGGTGTATGCTGGATTAATAAACTGGGGTCTCCTATGCCTGCGGTTCAAGCAGGTATAGGTGTTCATGGAGAGAGGTTTAATGGAGCGTCGGGCTGAGTCAAATTTAGCAGCTACACGCCTCCATCTCAAAGGCTCACAGCCTGACACTGCCGTGAGACAATTCAGACGTAATCCAGGCCGAACAACTAATACCTCCTCAGTTTCCTCGAAGCATCAATGTCTGCGCGGCCCCCCTGGCTGGGCCGGTCTTCATAGAACCAGGCGTCACTCAGGAATCAAACGGTTCAGGTTTCGCTGCAGCCTTTATTCGATCTTCCCTCTCATCTCTCCAACTTCCTGACCCAAAGTACTGAAACTCACCTCTTTCTGCTTATTTGTAGATATATATAATATGTTGACTCAGAAATGAATGTACAGTCTTTTATAATAAACAATTCTCCATACAGCAGCTTTTATGCATTTGTGGTTATTTGGGGGGGAAATAAGCAGAACAAGAGTTTCAAATAATAAAACTTGATCAGGTGGTTTATTGAGCACATGGTCATGTCAGATGTTAAGGCCTTCTGCTGTTACAGGACACTTAGCAAAGTTCAGAGTGTAAAACAGAAAAAGTTTGGCCATTGAGTTTTGGACGGATCCATGGACGTCACATCCAGACAATAACGACGACTCCATCATGTTTTAGAAATTATTTTTTTCTCCAACATTCTCAGCAGCCCAGAGAGGATCCGATAAACCGGTCTGAGACGCGTGAGGCCGCTGGTTACAGTACAGGACGAACCTTTTCTTCAAGGTGATCTTATTCCTCTAAAAATCACCTTGAAATGGTAATTTTTTCCTCTTTCCACCCAAGATAAGACGACTTAACTTAATTTTCTTTTACACGCTGTGCAGCCAGCAGACATTTTAGTCTCATAAGGCAGCAGGGTAAGTTCGTTTCACATCGAGCTGCCAGAGGAGAGAGTCAGAAGGCGACTCTGAGGAGCTTCACTTGTTCCTGTTGAGGACGATCTCTGTGAGCCTGATGAGGGCGTCCCTCTCTGCAGACGGCTGGAGCCGGCTGATCTGTTTGATGGCCTCTTCGCAGTATCGCTGCGCCAGGTAGGTGGTCTGCTGCACGCCGTCGCTCTGAAACAGGAAATAATGGAGCCGTTCAAATAAAACCTGTTCCACTATTACTGATTTTTCTTAACTGTTAGAGAATGTGAAACTAACTTTAAATTGCTGAAAATGATCAGCATAAAGTGTGTATTCTCATTCACCCCCTGTACTCTGATGCCCGCAACTAAACTCAATTGAACTATTTACATAGAAAAAATATATTTACGTTTAAAGCCACAAGATTGTTCATCTAAACTGATGGATAAAACAAGCAGAGAATTAATTAGAAGCAGCTAAACAGCCTGTGGTATCGCTGGGGGAGCTGCAAGGAGCCACTGCTCAGGTGGAAAGAAGATGGCAGAAGAGTCCTGTTTGAAAACCCTCCAAGTCTCCCTTAACGTCCACAGTGAAACACGGCAACGGCGGTATGATGCTGTGCTTCAGGGAAGACTAATCTGCTGAGAACAATATAGGACAGAGGTGCACTGCAAAAACGATCTAGGAATAAGTCAACATTTCTTAAATTTAATTTAACCTTAATTTGAATAGGTAAATAA